CTTTCATCCTTCATCTCAATAATTAAATCTATTGTTACAAAGAGGGGTTTGCCACTTTGATCCAGAAAAAGTGAGGTAAATATCATTTGAAGAGTTTGTCGCTTTGATCCAGAAAAGTGAGATAATTGTTTTGACAACTACGATTTAAGAGTTTACGCTTTTGGTCCAGAAAAAGTGAACGCATTGTTAACATTTGTGAAATACGTAAACAAAATCAAACTGACAGTTGAACATAACAATATCTGAAGATATTGGCACAGAACCTTGAAAAATTAATAAATAAAATAACTTTAGTTTAATTCGTTTCTTCCACCCAAGTTACAGATTAGCAGCTAATTCCTATAATTGGTCACTAACCAGTAACAGTACACAGTCAAATTTGACATTACAACAATCATATTTTTATGAATATCGATATCACTTCTCTTTTGATTGATAATTAAATTAACTATCAACAAATTATATTTTTTTTATACTTTAACATTTATCTTTACTTTCTCTCATTTTTTTTGTATTCTTCTTCTCTTATTACTATTGGTATATCTTATCCCCAACAAAAATATTCTTAATTCAAATTTCATTATCTTTAACCAATTATATTTTATTTCTCACTTGTATTTTTATTCTCATTACTATTTTTATCTTTATCTTTAATATTATCATCTCTTATAATTAATCTCATATTATTCAATTTTTTTCTTCAGAATCTTTCTTTTTACTGTTCTCTTATAATTTCTCTTATCTTTAATCATTTAAATTCATATTAATTTTATTTTGTATTTTCTTTTCTTTTATTTTTAATCACTTAAATTCATATTAATTTTATTTTGTATTTTCTTTTCTCTTATCTTGTGTAATTTTTCATTTAATTTTCAATCTTTGTTCTCTTTTAGTATTATTTAGTATTATCTATAAATAGTGGTATAGTTTAGAATTATTATTAATTATATAAATCAAAGTAACTATTGAAAATATATAAAAAAAATCTCTTATTACTAAAAACTCTCATGCTCTGATCTAATAAAAATAACAAAGTTCTTACTTGTAATATTATACTTGTGAATATATTATTATTTTCTTAATTATCTTCAAAAAAAATTTTGACTCCAAGTAGTGGATGCTTCTTCATTTTAAATAAGCCATTGACTTTAATATTTTTGTTTATTTTTGTTTTATTATTTTTAGGCTATATCAATAAGTCCTGTTTTATTTTCTTATTTGGCAGTCTTAATAAGTCCAATTAATTTTTTTATTTCATTAGACAGTCTCAATATGTCCTGTTATTTCTTTAATAGTTATTCTATTCTATTTTATTTTATTTTAATTTATTATATCATTTTCTTTAATTCCTCTCTTTGTCCCTATATTTATTTTTAATAGTAAGTTAGTTTGTATACAAGCTACCACAGGAGACCTTTAGAATCTTTATAAAACTCCATTAATCATAAATTATTCAGTCTTTGTTCTTTCACTGTTATGTTACTTCATTAATTCATTAACTATAACAATTCCTGAATTAATGAGAACAATATAATGACAAAAAACAAAATATAATAGTTAAATTTATTATATATCTTCATCTTAAAACTTTTGTTAATAGCAACATCTAATAGTTGCAGTTTAGATGTTAGCCCTCCAGGAATTACAGCAAGATTTTATTGTTTTTAATAAGTTTATGTTTAACTGAATTAACTAAATGTGCACGAGGGGGATCAAAAACTAAAAGGAAATGTGGATTACTTGAAGATAATCTTTTAGCCCAAATATTTTCAACCCACCAAAGCATTTCTTCTTCATTAACCCAACCTTTTTCATTTACACGAATCAATACATTATTAGGAAAGTTTTCTTGAGGTATTTTTTTAGTTTAAAAATACAAACTGGAGGTAATTTTGTTCCATCGGCCATGCATTCAAGAACTACAGTGAAATTTTTTCTTTCATTACCCGTAGTTCGAAGGCTAATTGTGCGAGCTCCACGTTTGTCGATTGTTGTTGGATTTGGTAAATCAAAAGCAAGGGGAGTCTCGTCCATATTTCCAATTTGAAGATAAAGGGTAATTATATTGAATACATTGATTTAAAATAAAAGTAAGAAAACTTTGTTTTTTTTTCTTCTAAATTCTCAGGTAAATGTTGTGCAATAGTTGTATGGCATCGATTTGACAAATTATATCGATATAAAAAAACCATCAAGCCATCTATTCGAAAATTTAAAATTTTGTATATCTGATAGATTTTGGAAATCGATACTCCGAGAAAGTGAAGATGCCTTCGTAATCACCAACGTTCGAGTAACAGGATTTTGTAATTTCCGTTGTTTATTAATCCAAGCAGATAAGGCTTCGTCTAATTGTGGATACTTGGGTAATTTTCCTTTATGTAATTTAAAGGTCTTTGGTGATGTTTTAATTAGGTTGTTTTTTTATTTATCCATTCTCGTAATTGCTTGGGCACACCAGATTCTTCGTGATTTTTTTGTTCTACGTGCTTTTAAAGCACTCTATTACTGATTACGACCATTTCAAATTAATATTTTCATCGAAAAATGTCAAGTATTTATATTTCTTCAGATATAAACAACAATAAATTTTCTTGCGAATATAATTATACGTAGCGATTATTTAATACTTTGCAAAACAATAACAATGAAACCAGAACATAATGATAAGAATTTTTAAGAATATCGTATACATAATAAGACTTTTAAATACGGCATAAAGAATTGTTAAGAATTATTCAGTTTTTTTGTTTAATCAGAAGAGATTCATTATTTGGGTGTCTCTTGATCCAAATTCATTTAAATGTTGTGGAATATCTGACGAGATTGTTATTTCTAACACTAATACATAGATGATACATGTATTTTCTTTTCTCGTCATTGTTAATTTAAGCTAATACATAGATGATACATGTATTTTCTTTTCTCGTCATTGTTAATTTAAGTGATACAAATCTATAAATAAAAATACGCACCATAAAAATATACATGCATAAACTGGAAAGTACTTTACAAAGGGGACTATACAGAGCGTTTTACGGTACTCGCAACAATAATATAATATTCGTTATCAATCACCACAAATGGCAATCAATTCCCATCTCCATTATTAATTATTATTACGTATCGTTATTTTTATATGATTTGCCATTTTATCAATAGCTTTTTGTAAGAACGAGCAAAAAAAATCTGTTGGATTAAATTCCATTGCATATCAACACTTGTTCTATCTCATCACATCAAATTTGATTAATCATATATAGAATAAAAAATGTATATTTATTTTATAAGTTCCGTTATGGGACTGAGTTATATAATGTGCACTTAGAGAGAAATTGCATTTATGGAGGTTGCATTTAAAGAGAGTTGACTGTGAACCTAATTTTTTTTTCTACCAAATGAATAATCCACGATTCATAGTGCAGTTTCTTCAAAATTTTTAATATTAAAATAATGGCTTGAGGTTAAATTAAGTGGAAAAGTTTTTACAGGGAGGGTACTATATACAGTGCTACACGGTATGTATTATTTTCTGAATACAAAGTGGTTAATTTTTTTTGAAAATAGGAATACGTATACCTCTAGTGATCCAAGCTTAATTTTCTTAATGCTTGGATTATAAGGAATCAGTCAATTTTTTGATATTCAATGCATGTGATATTAATAGGTAAATGTTTTTTTAGAAATATCAATACAAAGTTATTGAATACAAAGTGATGATTTTTTAAACTAGGAATTCCTATACTTCTAATGACCCAAATATATTTTCTAAATATTAGAACTACGTATTACCGCTACAAATTTGAATCATTCATCGGCGGCGTTTAATTATTGCCAATTGATTGATTGCCGATCTTGTCCGTGCAAATATCCTTATTAGCGTTAGTAACAGTAATCAACATCAATCAAAAATACACATTTCGGAATTACATATTCGGATTATTATCGTTTTGCCATTCCGGAATCTGCAGTTGCCCTACATTAAATGAAATTTTACCAGTGTGTAGATATACATGCACATTTTAGGCATTTTTTCTTATTACAAGCTGAAAATATTATTTTAAAATCAAAAGTACTTTACTTGGTACTTATTAATAAATTCCATTTGGGGATCAACATTGTTTTATTACATGTATTAAGAAAGTTATCGGTCCAACAAAAAAACTTTCTTATAACCAAGAAGTTAAATAGATTAATTACTTTCTTATATCAAAAGTTTCTTTTATCGAGAGTCACTTGTATTCCGATACTATTATAGCGATATATAGTAAATTCAGTAAATTTCATACTGATCACGAATTAAATAGTTTTTTTTTAGACAGAATCCATCCACATGCTATACGTAGTGTTCATTCAGCAAAGAGGTGATTTTTTAATCTATTTTTTTGAATTATAATTGTGATTTCAAAAGGTTTTTGATTTGTAAGCGCTCATTATTGTCTGTGATATTTATGTTTAATTATACATGTATTTTATTGATCAAATTATGAACGAATTTAGGATTCTTGAATATTGATCCGGTATTCATTAATTTATGTAGAACGATAAGATTAATGTAACAAAATCAGAAACTTTTATTAAGGATCTTATACAAGGTACCACATATGTTGAGAATTTGAACACAAAAGGGTTATTCATACGTTTAATATGAACAAATGATCAATAAAAGTATTAGTAGTATTATCATTTATTGATTATTTGACATGAAACATATCGAGATTTATAAATTTCGGACTGTTTTACTTGTGTTTTTAATTTTTGCAAAATCGACAAATTTTTATAAACCCTACGCGTTGGTCCATTAACTGAACTCATCCAAACCAACTCTACGTAATAATAGAAAAGCTACACTTTTTGTTATATATAACGTGAATGTATTGGCTCAGAGAGCCGATTTTTTCGCGCTTCTATATTATTTGTTGCATTAGATAGCACATATTGGTTTTTTCGGCAACCCTAGTTATAAAAGAAAAAAATCGGAAAATATGAGGTTAATAAAGATGTCGTTTACTGATGACATTATTAACGAAGATTATGCTTTGGCGCTTGAAGGCCACGTAAGTAATTGACAAATGCATAGCTTTTTTCAAAGTTGGTCAAGATCCTAATAGTATAAAAATTAATAAAATTAGATGTCAAAAGAGACATTCAACAATAGAATACAATCATTCAACGAAACACTCAAACAAACGAGCAATCCACAAATGATGCAACTCTTTTGCGTTTTGATAACTGCAAATGTCATAGTCTTCCCGGTACTATTCGTAGTCATTTTTGTTTGTACGAAACCAGACATACAGGAACCGTTAATGACCATAATGCTTGCGGCTCTGGGTACTTGTTTATTTCTGTTTATGTTACGAAATTTGTATGGCAAAAGATATCTAACAGTGGTAAGTAAGCGATTTTATTTTTATAAGTATCAGAGAATTATGAGTATCGAAGACCTTCAATATGATGATTGGTTGGTAATTTTATTTTTTTTACATATGTTATTAGCAAATGAGAGAAGTTGAACGAAAATTAAGAGAATTTAATCTTATGGATAATTTAAATTACGTAAATTGGACAGCACATTTTGATACAAAGAGTATTTTAGAAAAGGTACGGCGTGTAATAATCATTTATCATATTTTTCTGCAGAAGATAATTTTTTTAATATAGTATCGTACATGATCCTTATAAAATCCTAAAGGTGTTGATATTAGAAATATATACATCTGACGCATCAACAACAACAACACTAGTACGATTTCCAGAGATGGCATATGATAGTATTTGTGATTCTAATTCGGAAGCTAGCGTTAGCACTCTCACAATAGATTCGTCACCACCAAGATCACACGATAATTATCATGAGAGTTCGAGAATTGCTGGTTTACCTCCTACTTATGATGTTGCAGTTAACTTTCCACCGCCTTCTTATGTTTGACGTGAAGATTTAATTTGAGATTAAATCTACATATTTACAAATACTAATGGCTGGCCTGTTTGATATAACAACGATCTTTCATTTATAATAATTCTATGTCATATAAAAACTTTACATCTCGCATTCAGATTATTCTATATATAAAATGCATCGTACTTAAAAATCTATAATTTCTAATACGTAGTCAACCCAGCATTAGTTGATAAACGAGATTATTTCAGGAACAATTATATTAAATCCGCCTTGATAACGGGGGATAGATTTGTCCCATTCAAATTATTTGACCATGTGAATATCACTTGTGTGTATAAATTTTTTGTAAAAACTCTAATTTCTATTTTCGAAGAAAAGAATGAATTCAATATACATATACTGTCGACACTGTTTACAGCCAACTCTCGTTAAGCCGACTATATTTTTCTTCAATCTAATGGGAGTTAACTATGTATTTCAATTAAATATATATAATATAGATAAAATATGTGACTGTTAATCTATATCATATTTATTTAAAGGTACAAACTCTTGTTAAATCAAAGAAAATATGGTCGGTTTAACGAGAATTAACTGTATATTGAATCCAACCAAATTTTTTTATAACGATAATTATCATCGTTTATAATTGGAAAAAGTTAACGTTAACGTTAATTGGTTTTTTTTTATTTTTTAATACATGTATAATTCATTTTATCAATTGTGATTGATTAAAATAAAAGATTTATTGGTGTATGTGAATATAATTCTATTGCTAATTTTTATATACCGAATTGCTCCTATTAGATTTTCGTAAATTCATCATATTTTTATTTTTTTAACTTGCTGGAAATCTGGTACATGTACCATTATTTATATATTTTGCTTCTATAAAAATGCTAACAATCTCACTGCCATCACTTTCGCTGGTGACTGTAATATTTTAATAAATCCGCTCTGTTTCCATTGACTTCTTCCATAAATATGCGCACACACAGTACCTTTCTATCACTTAGAAATATTGTGTCTCAGATGCCCAATGCTTCAGCTGTCAACCAACACGTGTCAGGTCTAAACATTTCAATTTGTTCATCGGCAGCATGATATACATGTACGTAGTTACTTTTTTCATGGAAAGAACAGCAAATAACATCGAAAACCTAGATTCGACAACCAAAATCTAACAGCTGAAAACAAAGCAGAAGAATTATTCAAAGAACAATTAGACAAATACGATGACATAGCAATATCCTTAACACCATACCAGAATTTAGCGGAAAATCAGAGGTACATGTATACGGTATGTTCGAAAATGTAGATTCAGAATTTAACATTACGTAACTAAAAACATGATTTTTTTATATCGATACGGTATATACAGTCAACTCGTACCGAGGTATTCAGAAATTTAAAAAATTAGTTTATTTAGTAAATTCGGTTTATCGAGACAGGTTTACTATAACATAATTTCAATTTATCGGGTTTACAATAACTGTTCAGGGAACCATACTGCTTCGTTTTAACCGGGGGGGGGGGTTAACTGTGTATTCTAAAAGCGTAAACGTTCCGGCGGCAGTGGAGCAAGGATCGAAAATCTTGGAAGCAAAAATGTGATTATGATTAACGTCAGCATATATATATGTTGTAGGGCTCTATATGTGGATTCGGAATTCCACACATGTCGATGCGAGATTCCATTTCCACTTGTGTGGATTCAGGAATCACATACCCCTTATAATATCCAGTTTCAAAGGTTGGCGCTAACTTTAAATTAATAATTCGGTGTTTTGTTATTTTTGTAAAGATATATTTTGTATTATAAGAAAAGATTTAATATCTATTACTATTTACTAACACTTAATTCCGTATTCATGTGCCATACGTATATTATTAGAATGAAATTATTTTATTATTCAATGTGATTTCTTTTTTTTGTTTGGCATACCAGTATACGTAACGTAAATACATACATGTTCAATAAAATGCATGTGTACATACATACAAATATAACGACGACGACATCTTGAACGATTCCCTCAATATAGTAGAATTGAATAAACGCCGCTCTAACATTATCGTTATCGTGCGTTTACGCGAGTTAATGTGTATGCGATAGGGCACTGTGAATCTCACACACTGTTCTCTTGCAACTTTCGATAAATCAATACAAAATGAGGCGACTAAGGATATCGTTTTCAAACGACATTATCAGGGCAGACCAATATCTCCGGGAAATTGAAGACTACGTAAGTAATAAAAAAAGCACCGTCATTCTATATAATCATACACAACTTTCATGGTATTAGATGCAATTAGAGGTGAAAACATTTCTCAAGTCAAGGGTAGCAATCCCCTAGCGTCATATTAATATCTGGGCAGCTATATATGAGTTAAGTTGTTTCATGTTCTAATTTATACGCAACAAAAATAAATAGATGTCTCTAGAACTATTCAAGGGAAGAATTCAGGAATTCAACAAAACAACCAGACGAACAAGTGATGCACGACGACTACAATTTGTTTTGTATGCAATACTTCTATTGTGCTTAGTCCTACCGACGTTGCTCGTCTTCTGTTTTGCTTTACTCATAAAAAGCGGAGGTAATAAAATGCAAACGCCTTTTTACATATTTCTTACGATGGTTGGAACGTGTATGTTGGCGGTGGCTGTTTATATTGCGATTTTGACGATATTTCAAGAGATGGTAATTAAGCTTTTTTTATCGTTATCTGTAAATCTCAAGTATCGAATTTTTCATCGACTGAATTTGACGTAATTCATATAGCAAAATATAGATATTTTCGAAAAACTAAAAGAATTTAATCGAACTGATAATCCGAATCTGGTAAATTGGCGAGTTGAAGTAAATCTAAAGATGCCGGTATTTTGGAACATTCTTAATATTCACGAAAAGGTACACAGCAATTTCGGCCAAAAAAATTTACCAAAAACATCTTTTACTAATATGATTTTTCTTTTTTGACCCCAAAGATACTGATATTGGAGATGTTATCCTCCGAGTCAACTATCACACTAGTAATGGATTCCCCAGAGATGGTGAATGTTTAAATTAAGTACGCTAATAGTAGAAATAATACAGCCACAATACCATTAATTCCATTTTAATGCTTACACATATAATTACTTCTGTCTAATATTTTTTGAGCCGCATTTCTTTCATATAATAAAATTGTCAATTAAAATTCTTTATTCGTACATAATACTGAAAACTTTACTTCCAAGAAAAATATACGAACCGATACATTAGTAGCATTATTTATAATTAGTTTGATCTTATCGTTATATTCAATATCGATGGATTCTAACACTATATACGTACAATGCGACCGATTTTATTTGTTAATCTTCATATGTCAATCCATAAATCGGAATTCCGAATTCTGCATCTTTTCGGCAACAAATGTTCTAAATCACGATTGCCATCCTTTTTATTACTCGTGCATCACATATAATTTTTCATTTATTTATTATAAGAGTGACAGTTTTCGAATAAGCAACAAGTAAATAATAGATTCAATGAAGGTCACTTTCTTTACGCGTTGATTCTCACTGTTCTTCCGACTTCACTACCAAGTCACTAAGTATATTTACTTTGTTAGTTAACCTTCTCCATCAAAGAGTTGTTTTTTAAAGCACGTGGATGATTTGTGAGTGAAGGCAGTGATAGTGAATCAGTTGCGGGCAACAATTTAAATTTTGGAACTGTCAGAGTTATTTGAAATAACTCCAAGAGAGAAAATACTCGGATTTGAAGGATTTATAAAAATAATGAAAAAATGAGGAAAATACAATCATTCAGAATGTCATTTGCAAATGATATTTCCAAAACCCAATATTTTTACGAACTAGAAGGCTACGTAAGTATAAAATGATAACCCCCACCCCGACAAAAAAATTTATTACAAAGTCTAACTACGAGGGTAATTTTCATCAGATGTCACCCGAACTGTTCAAGTCCCGAATGCAAACACTCGACAAAGTAGTAAAAAAAACACGCGTTCCACGCCTACTTTCTTTTTTCCCATTCTTCCTACTGGTGACAATTCTTAGCAGTCCTTTGATTATCACGGAGATCATACTTATGTTGAAGAGTAGCTCGGAAGATAATAATTCGCCTTCAAAGCCTTTTTCAGCATATTTGTCAACATTCTTGACAATTTTTGGATGCTATCTTGTAGGATTTTTCCTGTGGTTCCTATTTGTAAAGAGACAAAAAACAAAGGTATAATAATATTGAAGTCTGATCCATTGTAAACTTACGTTTACTTTATTCGATTAAATGAATTTGCGTACATAGCGAAATAAAGCCATCAACAAACAACTAGAAGAATTCAATATTATCGATAATCCAAATCACCTAAACTGGCGAACGGAAATCGAGTTCGAAAAGAATGAAGGCACAAATTCTATGGTGACGCTAGAAAGGGTATCTATCAACTTTACTAATAATTTTTTTTACTAAACTCAGGTTTTTTAACGCAAAATCAATTATAAAGAAACTAGTGTTGGATATAATAGCGTCCTATTCAGCTATGATACAATTACAATTCCCAGAAACAGCATTTATTGATATCAATGAAAACCGTTGCAGTAGTACTGATAGCGTGTATTCTGATGGAAGTTATCGAACTCTATCAACTAATGTTAGTAGTCATAGGAATAGGAATAGTAATAGTAATAGTAATAGTAATAGTAATAGTAACAATCGTACTCATAGCATAATACGAACTGCTACTTTCTCGAGTCTGGCTCTAACGACACAGAGTTCCTTGGTTTCGAATCTGCCGTCGTATGATGTCGCTGCTAAAGATCCGCCGCCTCAAATATTCTTGAATTTGTGATTCTAAAAATAAACGTTTTGATTGTTTCAAAGTTTGCTATAATTTTGTTTAATTTAATCTTTAACAAATATTATGATATTTTTACAAAACTTTTCGATTGCAATTTGTACGGTGCGAATCATAAGTATCCTAAACTGTCCAAAAATAAAATAAATAACAAAGTTTGTTCCAGGAACAGTTATAATAAATCTACCTCGTTAAACCGAATTTACTTATTAAACTCCGGTAAAATGAATTTTTTCCGACCACGTCGGTTTAACGGGGGTTGCCTTTGTAGTAGAAAAAAGAATCTTGTAAATATAATCAATAAATATGGGGAATGTAGTGTTCCAACCGGGTCGGGTCCAATCCGTGACCCGACCCAGAATGCACATTTCGGGTCGGGTTAGGGGTCAACCCGATCCGAAATATTTCAGTCAGCCTAAAAATCGTTACTTCTCGTCCAATGTTAATTGAAATTAAACAAATATTTGTGGATATATACACAATTACATTCCGAACAACTCTACTTAAGACACAAAATACAAGTGACTTAGTAAATATTTTACGATTTTCAGGTCAAATCCGACCCGATCGGAATGTGACCAGTATACTTATCAAACTACATTAATAAGTCTGTCAAAATCCTGTGACAGTTTAATAAATGAGTAGTTTGATTGTTTATAATCCACTGTATGCAGAAGGGGATCCCCCAACATCCCGACATCCAAACTCCCGACAGTCCATAATCCCGACAGTCAAAATCCCGAATGGTACAAGATCCTGAATGGTTCAAAATCCCTAAATTCAAAATTCCGACAGTTGATAATCCAGACCTTCAAAATACCGAATAATTCAAGATCTGAACTATAAACCAAATAAATGATACTCAATTATGTATTATATTTTGATTAATGAATACTTGACAGAAGTGCTCCTGAGTTATTAATCAAATGATGATACTTAATTAATATATTACACTTTGATTTATAAAAACTTTAATGAATATTTGGACAGGAAAAGTAATCACATTGCACTTTACTTTTTATTTGACTAGCTTAATATACTAATACCAATATGTATATTATTATAAGATAGTAATAAAAAAAAGAACCTAAAGGTTAATGAAAAATATGTAATAGTATTTAATAGTTAGATTACTTGTCTTCTTAGTTCTTCAATTCCAATAGTAATAAGATTTGCTTCAAAGATATCTTCAAATAGTTATTTAATGATAAAAGATCCAGATATTGTATCTCATTCTTGAATCCAAATAAGAAAATTAGCTAGGGGTTCAGTTATTGTATCAGAGAATGGAAAGCAAATATGACAAGAGTATTGTTAAAAAATTTGAAGTGATGTTGAATTTCCAAGTGAATGTTAAGATGTGAATTAATAAATTCTTTAATAAAAGTATAATAATCATTTATAAAGGGAATTTAAATTAAAAAGAGGAAGATCTTTGAAATAATCCATAGAAGAAGCATCAAAATGTTACAAATTTGTTTACTAATCATTAAATTAGCTTACAAACTTGAATCTGGATTGGAAAAAAGTGATAAACTGATAAAAATATTAAAAGAAAAAGAAAGATATACCAATTTCTATAGAAATTGTATTTACTTAAAAAGGAATAATAATAAAGAAAAGTTGTGAAAAAGTAAAAGTAAAAGTAAAAAAGAAAAGAAGATATAAAAGGATAAAAGAATAGTAAAAGAGATTCAAAAGACTAATTTTCTGTATTTACATAAAACTTTCCAGAGCTAAGTTAATATAATTAGTAATAATAATAACAAAAATTCTTTTACTTTGTTCTTTTCACAAGTGAAAAATATTTGTTAACAAACAAAAATTCAAATAACAAAAAGTAAAATACTTAAAATTTAATTTTAATAATTCCAATACAATAATTTATTTAGCACAATATGATATAAAATTCAATAATTTAATAATAATAATTTGTTTAGCACAATATAATCTAATATCCAAAGTCAATAATAGTGATTTACTTAGAGCAATATGATATAAAGCTATTAGCAATTTGTTAGATATAATATGATATAAGATCACTTATACATAAGATTTGAAGTATATAAAGAAATATAAGAGATAAAAGATATTTAGATGAAGATTTTTGTTAAGAGAGATTTTATTTTCAGTTATAATATGTCAAGTTAAAACTCAGATGGCATTTCTATTTATACATTTTTCAAAAATACAAGTTCAAATAATAATAACTATCTAAGAAATAAAATAGCTAATCAAAAAAATATAATAAGAAATAAAATTACTAATCAAAAAAATAAAATAAAAGATAAAAGTAAAATAAAAGGTAAAAGTAAAATAAAAAGTAAAAATAAAATAAAAGATAAAATTAAAGATAAAAAGTAAATAAAAAATAAAATAAAAGATAAATATTTTATATTTTTTAATTATTTTTGGAATTAATAGTTTTTATATTACTACTATAATAATTGTATATGAAATAGTGAAATTGCAAAATCTACTATTATACTTTTCTAAATATATATATTATATAAACTTTATATTTTGCTCAGTTTCAAGCTTATAGAAATCTTATAAAAATATTAATTTGTCCTATATTTCAATATTATTCATATGATTGTATATAATTATATAGTTACATTTTGATATAGAACTAGAGTCAGAGATTAGCAAATTATTTATTCAGAAATCACATAATCAAATAATTTTTTCTGCATTCTGATATAGTCTATGTATCTATACTAATCATATTTTCCTTTTATAAATGTTCTCAATTAATTCTTTAGATGTATTACTTATCTTGATCTCCATTAGTATATGATATATGATACTAAGAAATTGAAACAAGTGATACCAGAAATAGTAATCTTTTCACTCGAAAAGCCTGATTATCACTGAACTCACTATACGAGATACTAAATATATTTCCAAATTCACTATGTGATAAAAAAATCAATGATATATTTATTACATTTGATAAAAAATTTATTCAAAACTAAGTTAATTTTAGAGCTTTCAGTATGTGATGCCAATTATGTCACTGAGACACAAAAATTATCTTTCAGAAAAAGTGCATTCCATGTATTAAGAATAAATTAATCTATATAGAACAAAATCTAATACAATATTTGTTCACTACAGTTATGTATTGTATACTAATACTTATTCTTGTTATTTCTTTACAAAATTCAAAATAATCTATTATAAAAACTATAATTCTTTATTTTTTTTAAAAAAATAAAAAGTTTACAAATTAAATCAAATATTATATTATAATAACTATATTATTTTTGCAAATATTTATACTGAATTCACAAATATTAATAATTAAGGATCACTAAAAAATATCAAACAATTTGACAATTTATAAGTATTTGTCAGTTATGCAACATGAATTTATTAAGTCATCAATTCTGACTTTCTAGTTTTTTTTATTATTATCAATTTATTAAATTTCAATAGCAACTATAATATTAATAGTTGCTAGCTTTCAATTCAAAGAATGTTAATAATAGACACTAACTAAAAAATAAAAAACATGTCAAAATGGATTTGCTCAATATTTATTAATTTTTAGAAATACAATTAAATTATTGTCATTTTTAATGAACAAGATAAGTATTTTAATTAATAAAAATAAGAGCTAAAGTAATTCTAGTTAATTAAAAAATGTATTTTATTTTTTTCTTGAATAAAGTTATATTTTTCAACTTTTTATTACAATATTGTGATAGTATTTTCAATTGTACCAAGTATATGAATATTTATTTGTATTGCATTTCTATTAGAGTTTGACTAATATAAATCTATTATTATCTTTATCACTTCACGTATTATAAGCCAATCCAATAAGTATAATATATTAGTTTTGATTCTTACTAGTTTTCCATGTTTCAAATTCTCATCACTATAAATCTCAAATAAGATCAATTCTTCATAATTCAACTTGAAATGACAATAAACTTGTATAATATTCTTTGGTAAAGTTATTGTTGCATTTTTCATTCAACTTACTTATCATATTTTTAATTGTTTTTATCATTTTGAGTGCATCAGACTTCACATCAGTTTTCTGTACTAATTTGTTCATATACAATTATTACACTGATTACATAGTAAACTCAAAGTATTACCATTTTATGCGAAGTATTCTACCAGTATAAATTCTCTATAAGTATACTTCTCTTAACAAAAATAGACAACTTCAAATATTTGTTGCTGCTCTTTTGCTAAATTCAATTATCTTTTAATAGTTTCAATACTATTACTTATATGTTTCTCTTGATGTATAAATCATATTATTATTGCTGATTATTCTCTAATATTTTTTTATAAAGCAAATACTTATGTTTCTCTTCCTTGTATTATGATATTATAATTAGTACAAATATTATAATGAGTATAAAATATTATAGACTTTGCTAAATTATAATCTCTCTCTATTCTTGTACAAGTATGTCTATATTGAGAATGACAAATATTAGTTTTTGTAATAATTTTGATTTTAATATAATATTTCTTTATCTATGCTTAATAAAAATATATAATATATTATCAACCAAACTCATTTGTCATTTAGATCCATACCAAAAGTACTTGTCACAATTATATTATTCTTTCATAATTTCAATTTCTTTTTTTCTTCACTATCTAGTAAATTATAATATATAATCATTGCCAGTTGGATATTTAATTTTTCACAAAGTTACTCATAAATGTTATAACATTGTTACAAGTTTGTTCACTAATCATTAAATTAGCTTACAAACAAGAACCTGAATTGAAAGAAAATATAAACTGATAAAGAAAATATTAAAAGAGAAGAGAGATATCTAAGACCTATTCCAATTTCTATAGAAATTGTGTTTACTTAAAAAGAAATAATAATATGAGAGAGTTGTAAAAGAGTAAAAATCAAAGAGAAGAGTGAATAAAGAAATAATAAAGAAGATTCAAAAGGTAATTCTAT